TTTATTTTTACGGATAGTCTCAGTTCTGTCGAGGCTATTCGCTCCATGAGGCCGGTAAAGCACTCCTCGTATTTTCTCATGAAAATACGAGAGCTTCTAAGTGCTTTATCTTTAAGATCTTTTGTCATCACCTTTGCATGGGTCCCATCTCATTGCTCGATTCCGGGCAATGAGAAGGCGGACTCGCTTGCAAAGGTGGGCGCTATGGAAGGCGATATTTACGATCGACAAATCGCCTACGACGAATTTTTCTTCATTTATCGTCAACAATCCCTCGCCAGCTGGCAAAATAAATGGAGTGAAGGGAGTTTGGGACGATGGTTATATTCAATCATCCCTAAGGTGTCGATGTGTCCTTGGTTCAAGGGGTTGGATGTGGGTCGAGACTTCATTCGTATGATGTCTCGCCTCATGTTCAATCACTACTCGTTAAACGCTCACTTGTTCCGTGTTGAGCTGGGCGACAGTAATCTCTGTGAATGTGGACAAGGTTACCAGGACGCAGATCACATTATTTGGTCATGTGCTGAGCACCGTGGAGTCAGATCCGAGTTGTATGATTCCCTTCGGGCTCGAGGTAGACAACCTAATGTTCCAGTTCGGGATATTTTGGCTAGACGCGATCTGGAGTTTATGCAACTCATATATGTTTTCTTGAAGAATATTAACCATAGATTGTAAATTTGATTAACCTTGTGTTTAGTTTGTGTTTTGTATGTGTGTGTGTATTTTTTTTTTGTAGATTTGTTTCTGTAATAATTGTATAATTACAGAGTTGATATAACGTCGATAGGATTAAGTATTTGTTTTAGAAATAGTGAAATTTTTGAATCATAAATCATATTCCAAATCTCCTTTTCCCTCTCCCGATCCAAACAATTGTCATCCACTAACCTCGAGAAGACCGCGAGTAATCGGTTCCAATCCTTTAATTTTAGATTTAAGACATTTATAATGTATAAAGAAAATGATAACTTGGCTCTGTAAAGTTTATTCGAATGAGCCTGTACAAATAAAGTAATTAACAAAAAAAAAAAAAAAAAAAAAAAACCTTTTTGTAATAATGATTGAGAATTGTAGAGCGAAAAGAAGTAGGGTACAATTTACCAAATATTTTTATCCACACAATTTTCTCTCCCCAATGGTTGAAAATCGTCCTTAGTTTCATCCTTCTTTTCAGCTTGGCTGCACTTTCGCTTTCTACCCAAGTAACAATTTCCAGTTGAAGAAACGCTTTCGTTTTGATTTCGTTCAGCTGCATGTTGAATAATAATTGCACAATGTGTTCACCACAACTTTTATAAAACCCTTGTTTACACTGGTTTGGAGAACCTATACAACTGCAACACAAAAGTGTTGTCTAACGTATTCAGTAAAACGTTTACCCAAAATCAATTTCTTGTTGAAGAAACGCTTCCATTGTGATTTTATTCAACTGCATGCTGAATAATAACTGTACAATTTGTTTATTACAACTTCTGTAAAAATCTTGTTTACACTGGTTAGGAGAACCTGTTCAACTACAGCATTATATGTATACGCGGTGTAAGAGTAGAAGCATACAACGTTTATAGATACATATTTAAACTCAAGCTTTATTATTTTGGTGAAAGCTCTTATACAACGTTTGTAGACACTTCTTGACAGCTGCTTTGAAATTTAGTAGAGAAACCTGAGAGGCGTTTGTTACACTCTTTTATGACTCCTAAATATTAATTGAACAGCAAGCGTTGAAAAGCGTTTATAACACTTTTAAATGACTCCTTAACAACCGGATAGAAGCAACTTTTATACAACGTTTATAGATACATATTTAAACTCTAGCTTTATTGTTTTGGTGAAAGCTGCTTCGAAATGTATTAGAGATTGAACCTGAGAGGCGTTTGTTACACTCTTTTATGACTCCTAAATAATCACTATACAGCAAGCGGTGAAAAGCGTTTATAGCACTTTTTAATGACTCCTTAATAACCGTAGTGTAAGTACTCACAATATTCACAGATTAAAATTAGTTTAACAATTGTCGTGGTACGCCAAAATAATTGCTTGTACAGTTTTTATTCATTTAATTTATTTGTGCACATTGAAAAAAATATGTAATTATGCCATAATTCACATTCTGTGATCATGGAGGAAGTAGTAACAAGCATCTGTTTAATCTTTGATTGATATTCTTCTTTCAATTAATCTCTCTAATCATTAATTGAGAGAATTTATCTAGAAATGTTATCGTTGATTATATGATATATGTCTTAAATTAATAACACCTATATATAATTTACCTCTACTCCACCGAGGGTTTCTCGAAGCAAGATTCGAACTCATGATCCCGGATTGCCAGCCGCTTCTGTTTCCATCTGCTCTATTCTTGAATACATATTTTGATCATATGAGAGAAGTATATGAAGCTCATCTTGAGTGACTTCTCTTGCAGTCGAATAATCATTGCCTTATGGTCATATAAACGTGCCTATCACTTGTGCTATTTTTAGCAACAACATTGTGGTTGGTGGTTGGTCGAACGTAAACAATCATTTAAGAGTGCTCCAACAGCTTTTAAAACTTTTAATCAAATGGAAATACAACTTCATTCTTGTTCAACTCTGGAAGCTATTATTCAACGTTTGATCAACTCAGGTGTTTTATAAGAGCTCTCAATTGTTTGTTGGGGTGCAGCACCTTCGATGTAATATTCAACAACTATTTTTTCTGTATTCGTCAGATGTGGTGTGTGTGTCTCCACTGGGATGCCTTGACCACTTATCATTTTCAAGAGCTGACATCTACTACCTATCTTTTACGTGAAAAAGAACTGGCATCATTGATAAGTTCGAAATTTGGTGGCTTGCTCAATACTTCAGTGGCGCCACCATGACAAATGCAAGCACATTCCCAACTAAAACATTATTTGCGATGAATGTGATTGTGAGTGTTATGTCTGTTTGTCTGTGGTTCAGCTGTTCAGATTTCGGTAAAATTTACCGAAGTCGGCGATAATTTCTAAGTGTGTACTACCAACTGAGATACTTTCAAATTGACCGTTAAATTCTTGTTCGATGAACAGCTTATGAATTTTTTTTGTCTGTTTGTCTGTGCTAAAACCATGGTGGGTATACACACAGAGTTTAGATTACCGAAGCCGGTAAAATTTTACTGGGTTTTTAAACAGCTGAGTTTTCAGCAATGAATTCAGTAGTTTCCCTGAAAACTCGGTAAATGAAAAAATCCCTCAAATGTCAAAATTTACCGTTTTAGTCAGTTAATGAATTGCTGACTTTTTCAGTAATTTATTTGTTTACATTATTTGTGCTGAGTTTTTCAGTATTTTGATGAATACATATCAATGAGTAGTAAATAAATTATTTCGGGAGGGGGCGACCCCGGCGTAGTGGTAAGCATCCATACCTCTCACGCCAAAGTCATGAGTTCAAATCTCACCCCCGGACAAGTCACGAATGACCCAAGAGCGTTAAAGTGACTATAATAAAAAAAAAAATCATTTCGGATTTTTTTAAGATTTTTATTAGGGGTTTATTTTGTTTAGAGGCATAAAAATGAGAAAGCGAAACGACGAACGTACACTTTTTACGGGTTTTTCTGCGCTGTTACTTACGACAAGCGGCATATCCATAGAAATCGGGTGACTTAAGTAGCATAGAAAAATATTTTGATCGGAAGGTGATTACGTCAAAATGCAATTTGACTGATAAATAATTTTAAAAATAGGATGTGATCTTACATTCGGACAGTATAAAGTGCAATAGCAAAAGCATCGATTGACTCTTATAGCTCGACTTTGTTTACCTTTGTTACTTTCGACGTAATGAAAATTTGCTCTTGAATACTAAGATGAAACAGTCGGCAAAAAAAACTTTTCTATTTTAGTAGAAATACTCAGAGGGAGAAATGGGTGGAGATAATGTTTTGAGCCAAATGAACTTTCAAACGCCGAGCCAATAGAACATTCCAATTAGAATTTTTCCGGGGATTTCTTATTCTTACTAGATTAAATTTGATAGTACTGCAATCGAACAGAAATTCAATCACATATATGTTTCGTGTGCTTCTCAAATTCAACTAGTTTTTGGAATCAAAAACAATATTCTAACTCCATTGATTAATTGATCTCCATTGGTTAATGAATGGCACCAAGAAATGTGCAAAATATTGCCATGCAATCAATTATTATTTTGCACGTAAATCGAATCAAATGTAAAAGTCATGTGAAATGCTAGCTTCTAGCAAGGGTTGCAAGATTATTTAGGTACAAATCCCTGCTGCCGAATTGTATTTTGTTTTCTCCGCCCATCTCATGGTGGGTATATAAATGGTGATACAGCTTTGTCACTATATAGGCGGGGAGGTCGCGGGTGGGAAAAATGCGGTTTTAGAGCAAATTGTAAACAAACTCGGTCGCTGTCCCATACAAAAATCCAACATGGCTGAATCACGAATTTGACACATTAGAACACCTATATGTAGCCACCTTGGCCCATCTCTCCCTCTGAGTATTTCTAATCCAAACTGCTGCAACCAGGTCAATCCATTGATGTAATATTGTATCTGCTTTTTGCTTTCACATCATTATTTCATACATCAGCTTGAATTACATTGATCGATATTACATTTTTTTTGCTGTGTGCGGACCGGTTGCTTAAACTTTATCACAAAAACGTTCATGAAAAGTTCCATAATAATATAAGTTAATGTTTAGCAGGGATTATAAATTTATTTAAACCATTTTCGTTATGGTTCGCGTAAATGCGGGATACTTTTAATTTATTTTGATATTAATTTTTTTGATGTGCTCTGCATAAACGGAGGGATCACTGTAGTTCGTGACTTTTGCATCACGCACGATGCACCCCTTGTTTTCGCCTGTTTCGATTTGTCAGAACATCGGGCGAAAGCGAAAAACCAACCAAAACAAAAACAATGCAAATTTCCGCCAATGTTGCTTTTGTTTACTTTGTTTACCGGTAGTGTTTTCAGGAGTTTTCTGTTGAATGTGTACTGCTTTTATTCGTTCGTTTTTTAGTGATACTTTATTCAAATTGTAAATTTTAATGCCAATATTTACGGACTAATCATGGACGAAGTTCCGGCAAGTCCGGAGGTAGTGAAAAAACGGAAGTCACGCCGGAAAACCTTAAGCTTTAAACAGCGAAGTTCACTTTCACTGAACCGCGGAAGACCATCCGAAGTGAAACCAGATTCCAATGTCGAAGACTGTGTTACCGTGCTGCTACCGGATGACAGCAAAATAGGGGCAGTTCGAGATGAATCGAATGTACAGTTTGAAATACCAAAAGAAAACAATCTGCTCTATTTTGATGTGGACACCGAAAACATTGAGCTGGCTTTCGAAGATCCCTTGGAGTCGGCTGCCATTCTGGAAAGGGCAAATCAAATTGAGCTGGAAAATGTAGCGAAGCCATCCGAGGGTTTCCTTGCGAACGTCCGGAATAGGTTCGTTAGAATAGAGGAAGTAATCGAATCGGAAGACGAACCTGCAGTAGAGGAATCAGTTGTAGTAGTTAAGAGAGAAGCCAATGTGTCGAGGAGTAGGAAAGCAAACTACAGTTACACACAGTTCGATTTGGATACACAGGTGCTGGGCATATGTGAAGCTGCTGATATCCTTGCTGGCTTGAACACCAATCCCGAACACGAGTTGAAAGACTGGAGCAGCCCCTTGAAGAAACAAGAGTGCGAAAGCGCGACGGAGCTCATAGTCGAAGGCCAGTCACATGAAACTCCTCTGCGAAGAAAAGATCGATGGAACAACGTAAGACAGTCATCGTTTTCAAGAAATTCGATTTGTAAGTTTCAGTCGCGAATTATAGTTCTGCTCTATTACATGCTTCTTAATTTCAGCAATCCAAGAATGTAGGACTCCTCCTTCTACTAGCAGAAGAGATGTTACAAGTTCCATCACACTTGACTTTAGCGAGGATTCGGAGAGTGAATTGGTTGTTGATTTTTCGAAAATCAAATCATCACAACTTCGTAAACGGTTGGAAAAGATACAAAACTACATCGACAGTCCACCTCAGCCAGTTCGTAAAACAGGTGCACGGAAGACATTTTCTAAGAAGAAATCTCCAGCTGACAGCCCTCAAACACCGGTTGTAGTTCGACGATTGAGCTACGAGAGTAACGTTTCCGAGCGGACCAACGGAATCGAAATAGAACCAAATCATATTTCTTCGGAGGATGAAACAGATTGCGCGGTGGGTTCACAACCGGAAGAGCAGCCCTTGGTTAATTCTAGTCCCGAGGGTGATAATTTTGACTCAAGTTTGTTGATCAAGGCGAATATCAATCAACTTTCACAGTTTTTCTTGCAATCGGTGGAATCAAAAACCCCTTGCATTAACACGGAATCTCCTGAAGTTCCTCCGCAATCATCGACTCCCATTTCGCTTCCGTCAGATCCAGTAGATTCTCCACAGTTATTGAATATCGCGTGGTTGTTTCGAAGTGATTCCGAATCCGAATTCGAATCCGGAGAAGAGCCAGAAGCGGAAACATGTCCCGATAAACATTTGCATCGTCTTTTGGATGACGATGATGATTTCCTGGTGCAGTTACATCCGTCGCAGAAAAAGGAAGCAACGCTGGTACCAGTTTCCGTTTGGGATGGCGACAAGCCCGGTGAATTTTCTGAATGTCAGTTTACTAAGCCCCTACCGCCGGACAGTGGCTTTAAAAGCAGGTATGTGTCAATTGTCTACTTTCTATTCGAGAATCTCCGCATGATTGTCGCTGCTTTTTCAGAACAACACCTTCATCGTCTGTCGGAACTGAATTTAGACTTCCTTCTACCGACCTTCCAATTCCATCCTTTGAAGGATTTCAAACAGCAGGTGGATCTGGTGTCAAGATATCCGAAAAAGCTCTCGCCAAAGCTCGCGCTATTTGGACCGACGAAGAGCAGAAGCTTAATGAGGATAAAGTTTGGCAAAGTACTATCGGCGACGAATCATGCGCAGTCTCAGAACGGATAGTAGCACCATCTTTTGCAGAGTTCAGTACAGCCGCTGGAAGCTCGGTACAAATTTCGGCAAACGCTCTAGCGAAAGCAGAACGACTTTGGATGGAATGCGAAGACGAGGGCAATTTCGGATTCAAAACAGCTCGTGGAAGTGACGTGAAGATTTCTGAAACCGCTCTAGCTAAAGCGAGGGCAATGGTTCGAGATGTTGAACAGGAATCAGAAATGCAGTCATTTGGCGGGTTCAAAACTGCTGCCGGCAGCAGTGTGCAAGCTTCTGAAAGTGCTCTAACCAAAGCACAATATATTTTCGAGCAGATTGAGACTGACCTACAAACCGAAAACGAACCAAGCGATTGCATGGGCTTTCAAACTGCTCGCGGTGGCACGATTAAAGTGTCTGATAACGCTCTATCCAAAGCGCAGTCACTCTTCCAACAAATGGAGCTTGAAGCAGAGGATGGATTCGGAGATAACGCAGAGCACATCAATAACGGTTTCCGAACAGCTTGTGGAAAGACAATGAAGGTGTCGGAAATGGCAATAGCGAAAGCTCAAGCAATTTTCCAAGAAGTTGAATCCGAACCGGTGGATTTTGAAAAAGCCAACGGTGTGACGAAACGATCTCGCGATGTGACCGACTGTGATGCCGAAACACCACTTAAAAAATACAAGGCTGAGACGGTCAGTAATAATCTAGTTAGTCGATTCTCTACCAGCACACCGAACTGCAACGGGATGATTTCCTCGAAGCATCACAATGACAAGACTGAACTCGAACATTATTTCGGAGAACTGGACGATCATGACTTCCAGCAGTTGTTCAGTAATACCGAACCAGTGCCTTCCAATAGCCGCAGGGTGCGCCCCATGAAGCAGGTCCGGTTGATGAGTCGCTTCGAACAATATGATAGCACGAGTCCTGTTGAGCAGAATTTTCCGGTAGGAGCTCATTGGGACGATAGCTTTGGGGATGTCGTTGCCAAATTGAATTCCGACGAAGGATTCAAGGTAGCCCAGCAGATAGTGGACGCTAGGAGGCTAGCCAGACAGCGACAAAAGGACTATATTGACAACAAACCGGAGGCTGATCGAAGGCCGAGATTGAGCGAATTTGTACGACAAAAAAGATTGATTGGTAGAAAGACGCTTCAACAGGTCCTGGGGGATGGCAAACCATTCGCTGGTGTTGATGATATTCCTGAGCGGTTGCGAGAGCTGAGTGTAGCAAATGCGGTCGACTTCAAGTTTGATATGATTCAACTGTACGGGTGAGTAGCAACAACTTTAAGTTCATAATCATAATTTTAAATTTGAAAACACTCGCAGCAAAGCCGAGTGTCTGGAAAATATAGAGGGAATCCTACTTGGAGACCGAGATGCCACCACCCGACTACTGTTCAATGATCGCTGTCAGGTGGGCTTTCCCGAACTCAGTTCTGCTTTCCTCGCCTCTCCCGGCATCGACCCAGCTCTCATTCCTCATCGGTGGATTGAGAATTACTGGGTGTGGATTCTCATCAAATTATCTTCCATGGAGCGTAATTTACCGGATCATTTTGGTGGGGTCACCACTCCGGAAAACGTTTTCAACCAACTCTTTTATCGATACCACGTAGAAATTGATTGTGCCAAAAGGTCTGTGATAAGAAAAATGCTGGAGAAAGACGACATTGCCGGTAAGCGGATGGTTCTGTTTGTGTCTCGGGTATTCCGAGGACCAGATCCATTCGATGCGGAGGTTGAACTCTGCGACGGTTGGTATCCCATTAGGACTGTGCTGGACAGCCCTTTGATTCAAGCTGTACTCAGAGGGAGGATTGCAATAGGGACAAAGCTCATGATTCAAGGGGCGGAATTATTGAATCTCAATGAAGGGTGCTCTCCGTTGGAAGTGCCAGCTGATGTTAGACTTAAAATCCACGCCAATTCCACTCGACGGACGAGGTGGAACACCCGGCTTGGATTGTATAGAGTGCCTTCCAGTTTTGTGATATCGTGCAACGACGTTCTGGATCGAGGTGGACTCGTTGTTAGCTTAGAGGTAGTAATTGTTCGAATTTATCCGATGATGTATGTCGACAAGACGCAGCGCGATGCTTTAGGATCTGGTAAATTGCTCTACTTACAAGTTAACCAAACGCGGCTAATTGAAACGAATTAATCATTCGCAGTATTACGTTCGGAACGAGTTGAAAGACGAAGGACGCTGGAGAGCGACAGCAATCGTTTCGAAAACTTGCAAGCACTTTTTAGTCAAGTGCAAAAAGAAGTGGAAGCAGAAAAGGGGCCACAAAATGCGCGTAATTTAAATAGCAGACTGACGAGATCGACCACCACTACCGAACTGTTGGCACTGGTGGAGGCCGGCTTGGATCTTTCGTGCATAGAGGTCAGTAAGACGTTTCGAATTTTCACCCAAGTTAAATTTCCAGGTTTGACTCAGTTTTTTCGATCAATATTATAAACATATCCGATACAGTAGAATTTTGATTTCGACAGCACAATGTTTTAAAATTTCTGAAACAATTCTTTTTTTTTTTGTAAATTTATTTATTTGTACAGGCTCAACTGAATAAACTTTACAGAGCCAAATTATCTTTTGCGTTATCCATTATTAATGTCTTAAATCTAAAGTTAAAATCTGGAATTAAACCGAGTACTCGCGGTTGTCTCGAGGTTAGTGGAGATTTACAGTTGCATGGATGGGGAGAGAGAGAAGGAGGTTTGAAATATGATTTACGATACAATTATTTCATTATTCCTAAAACATGAACTTATTCCTATTCAACTTGACATCAGCAGTGCAATTCTACTATTATTACAGAGCAAACATTAAAAATAAAAACCCACACACAAAATACAAACTAAACACAAGGTTAATCAAACTTACAATCTAAGGTTAATATTCTTCAAGAAAACATATATGAGTTTTATAAACTCCAGATCGCGTTCAGCCAAAACATCCCGAACTGGAACATTAGGTTGTCTAACTCGAGGGATGATCGAATACAGCCATCGTCCTAAACTCCCTTCACTCCATTTATTCTGCCAGCTGGCGAGCGACTGTTGACGATAAATGAAGAAACATTCATTGAAGGCGAATTGTCGATCGTAAATATCGCCCACCTCAGCAAGTGAGTCCGACTTCTCATTGCCCGGAATCGAGCAATGAGATGAGACCCATGCAAAGGTGATGACAAAAGATCTTATAGATAAAGCACTTAGAAGCTTTCGTATTTTCATGAGAAAATACGAGGAGTGCTTTACCGGCCTCATGGAGCGAATAGCCTCGACAGAACTGAGACTATCCGTAAAAATAAAATAATGATCTGGTACAAGTGAGGCGATAGTTTCTAGCGTATAATGTATTACCGCCAGCTCAGCAACATATACGGAACAAGGAGCTTGAAGCATTCGAGAGGCGCTATGAAATTCGTTAAAAATACCAAACCCAGCGGAAGAACGATCTTGCGGAATACACTTGGCCAAACTTTGCAGCAAAAATTGACGGAGCAATCATGAAACGAATATGTTCTGGGATCCCACGAATCTACCGCGTCATAGATAAATCAAAACAAACTGAATTGCCGAAGTCGGAGAAGCATACACGATGAGGATTATGCTGTGAAGGGCTGACATCCTGTGTTATATTACACATAGTACAATGACATAAAACGAGTTTGAGGGTTTAGCTCAAGAAGCTTCTCAAAGTTTTCGATTACCAGTGGGTTCATAACTTTACAACGGGTGAGGAGCCTGAAGGACAATTCCGAAAACCGATCCGATAGTGGCAACATGCCCGGCAACACTTCTAGACTCATGGTATGAGTCGAGTGCATGCATCCTAACGCGATACGAAGACAACGATACTGGATACGTTCCAGTTTGATAATGTGAGTTTTAGCCGCCGACTGGAAACAAAAACCACCGTACTCTAAAACCGATAAAATCGTTGTCCGGTACAACGTTAGAAGATCTTGCGGATGGGCTCCCAACCACGTTCCGGTAATTGTTCGGAGAAAATCCTATTTGGCATTTTCGTCTCAGATACTCTATGTGGGATCGCCAGGTGCATTTGTAATCGAACCAGACCCCATAGACATAACATGAAAGACATAGAATGAGTGATCGGTTAACCCAAAAGTTGAAGCTTAGGTTGTGCTGAGCTATGCTTCCTAAAAATAAACGACCAACTCAGTTTTTTTCCGTGGAGAATTCAATACCTAGCTGGGTAGCCCAAGTAGACAAATTGTCTAAGGTTTCCTGTAAGGGTCCTTGCAGGTCGACCCCTTTGAGCCCTGTGACAGACACTACACCGTCATCTGCAAGTTGTCTCAACGTGCAGTTGTCACTTAGAAAATTGTCAATTTCTCTGACGTAGAAATTATACAAAAGGGGGCTTAAACATGAGCCCTGGGGGAGACCCATATAGCTAAACCGTGAAGCTGTAGAGTTTCCATGAGAAAAGCTCATATGGTTCTCTGACAGCAAATTGTACGGCCGAGTTTGAGCTTGAAGCGCGCTGTCCAAGATCGGATTGGAGAGGAAATTATATTCCTCCAACGGTGGAAGCTCTTCTACCGACGTTAGGGCTTCATCAATCACAGTCTTGAACTTTGCTCAATCGATATTACGGGTGAGATCGTACATTAACGGGTTCCGACGGATTGAACCCACTGGCAACTAAAACTTTGATCGGCAAGTGATCACTACCGTGGGGATCTTGGATCACATTCCACGTGCAATCCAACGATAATGAGTTAGAGCGAAGTGTGAGGTCTAATCTACTTCCATACGAGGATGGACCAGCCAAACGTGTTACTTCTCAATTGTAAAAAAAAATGTCATATTGAAGCTGTCGCAGAGGTCATATATCAAAGTAGAACGGTTGTCATCATACAGTTCCCCCCAGCCTGTACCGTGGGAATTAAAATCTCCCATAATCAACCGTGGAGCAGAATGTACCGAACAGATATCTGAAAGTTGTTTTCGATTAACAACGGCTCTAGGAGGAATATAAACAGAAGCAATATAAAGGCTCTTACCTTTAATAATAGCCTGACATACGACAACTTCAATACCTGGAAATTGTGAGCTTGAGCTTGAGCTTGAGCTTGATTGACCGCCCACGGTTGCTACTCTGTTATTGTCAGATCAGCTGTAATTACACAGAGAACCAATAGACGATGCTTGGGATTAGCAATCATCATCAATGTGTAAAAACTGGTGATCTTAAATTAGGCAATACCAGCGCCGGCCGCGCCCGAACACAGGTCAAAAAAGGAATGGGAAGGATTGTGTTGACATGACACTCGCTTTGATGGAAGCCGCGAACACCTCTGCACTTCCACGAGAAATCACTGGGATGTTGGATAAGAGGGTTGGGTTTGCAGCAGGGTTCGTTTTGGTAAACGATAAGCTGAATTGATGTCCTAACGATCATATAACGCGAAGGAGCTTGGGACTAAACTCACGGTCTTCTGCTCAGTAAGCAAAAACGCTTGCCACAAGGCAGACGAGCACCTTTTTAATCACCGAGTTGCTGTTATTACCATGTAGTCATATTAACAAATAAAACGATTGACGAATCTTGAAAGTGGATAGGCCTGAGATTAGACTCATGATGTTCTGCTCAGTAAGCAAAAACGGTTGCTCTAAGGCCACCGAGCCCCTCATATCACATAATACCGTTGCTCAAATTGTTGTATCCATTCAAACCCGGAACCAACGACAACAACGAGTTTCGCAAAATACACGATACACAAGCGATTTTACCATAAATCTCTTTGATATGTAAGGACTTGGGACCGCGTTTTTCTGTTCAGTAAGCAGGCCACTGTAACCGACGATCTTTCAAATCCAAAAACTAACAACTACGAAAAAGTACTTAGGCCTTCATTAAGTTCCACTTTCACGCGACGTTCAATGACAGGGTCCTATCCAGGATTACATCTGAACAATCCAAATCTGGCCAACGCCCACCCTAAACCTAAACCTGTTCTAATCCACCTGAAATGACTAACGAATGGAAGACTTTGACTACCCAGCCATGCAATAGTCTCATTCCGTGCCTTATGGCAACTTAATGATTCTATTGCGCTCATCTTCTGGCACCACCCAGGGGAGACTTTGTCCTGTACCCAATGCTTAACTTATCTCCATTCCACTCAGCTACTCGCAATTTCTTGTGATATAGTGGGCGGAATATTATTATTTGAGATAATTCAATGCAGACGTCTTTCCAAATTTGGCAGATCGACAGGTAATCGGTGAGTTACGACGATAGTTGCTATTCAACAACTCCACAACGTCCCATCGTCAACGCCTGCTATGAGAATTTCCCATTGCAGACGCCAACGAAATGACGTCATCGAGCTATCGATCAACTACCCTGGTTATCGCCTGGTACCTTATAGCACGATGCTAGGAGGCAAACCGGAAGAATCGATGAGCTACCTCTCCCCCCATACGACAACTTCAATACCTGGAAATTGTGGAAGATTAACTCTATAGAAGGAATGGCACTTTTGATCCCCAAAATTACCCCTCCTCCACGCAAATCCTCACGATCCAGTCGAATAATGTTGAAATCATTAAAAGGAAGATTGATTCAAGAGAGTCTTCACAGTAGGAAGCATTGCCAGAACAATGCTTTTCAGAGGATCAGAAATATCGAGGTACTTGAAGATGCCGTCCACAATGTTATCAAATGAAAACAACCCAAGCAACAATTTTTGTTTTATTGAAGTTGTATAGCAGTTAATATAACCAAATATTAAAACCTTCACTGATGACCACATTGCTTTAACAACCTCCTGAGAACCACTATACAGCCATGCCATGGCCAAATGGCCCATTTTCAATGCAATCATTAAAACTTGATATGCGAACTACCTTAGGAGCATAGGTTCTATGTCAGTTTTATCACACTCTACAATACTTAAATTTTTTTGACAAAATGGCGGCCTTGCAAAGTTGAAGTGCCGATTTTTGATCCTTAAAATTTGTCTTTGATCGGCTGTAAAAAATCGAAATTAAATGATAGACAAATTCCGAACGATCGTGGACTGCACAAAATAGTACTGAACAGAAATCAAAACGAATCGGACGAATCGAATGTATACATTTCGAGAAATTTTTGGCACCGGTTTTGAAAATATGATTCCGAGATAATCGCGTTTAAAGTTTCAAGTTGGGTTTAGTCCACTATAAGTGAATATTTTTGTACGTCGCATAACTTTCACAATTTCCATCGGATCAACTTGATCTTTTGAGGAAATATTCTTGACTTTATATACTTTCGATTAGGACAATAAAAAAATCGATTTTTTGAAAGTTTGCAGGTAGGCGTAACCCCTTAAGGAAAATTACAATAACTTTAAACGAATTCCGTGGAATTATAGAATATTCCTAAGTACATTTCAAGAATGTTCCAAAAACTTCAGGGGCATTGCGGGGTCTTCAGGGATGTTTTATGACCATTTAGAAAATTTCCTGGATCATTAGAACATCCCCTGTTGGGGAACCGAATTACCTCCGCCTTCGATGTCGACCAGTGCTCCCCAACACTCGCCGGTGAAATTAGGGAAAACAAAGGGCCAGCTATTCCCGGTGCTGTGTAAATATCTTCCTTGTTCTCCGTGGAAGAGCTTCTTCTATTTTTACACCAATTAACACGCACTCCGATTTACTAAAACAGCTTTACAAGCACTACATTTATTAAAAACAACTAATTAAAACACATTTATTTCTTAAACTCTAACGTTGTTTTTCTTATTCCTAACACACAAAACAGATTAAAATTGCCCGCGCGCAGACTCCACACATGGTCGGTGGCCTGTAGATTTCTACTTCAAAAAAAAAATCACTGGTCATCGTCTAACCACGATCGCCACTCATGCGATGTTTTCGCTCGGGTCCATGAGAGTGACCGCTCCTGTTCTCGCTCCTGAATTGCTCACCATTGCAGCCTATATACAAGCGAAACGATCTAATCCCTCTCGCCTGGCTTGATCGATGACCATCTATCCTCTGCTCGGTGTGTTGATGAGAACACAATAAGCGATGCTGCAAACTCGTTGGAAGTAGGTCACAATTGTGCATACCCAGTACGAGGATGTAGCTAGGTTGGGCTGATGTTAGTCTCAAACATCCCCCAAGAGCTCTTTCTACCGGAATTATGTCCTTGTTTCTTTCGACTGTTCCGTACATTAAGAAGTTTCTGCCAGCGTCTCCAGGATTTTTCTTCCGTCTTCTCCAGGAAGTTTAATTAAACTTCTCCCAGAAATTTCTTTCGCCTAATTCTGGAATTGTGTCCAGTTGGTTTGTTTTTACTTCTATTGAAAGGTTTTTCCGAGCTTCTTCTGGCTTCCCCTTGAAATGGATACTTCTGGAATTTACTTCTGATTCGCGAAACTTTTCTGCCTTCCTTTGAAGGGGAAATCCGAAAGTTTCTTTAAATTTTCGCCAGAAGATTCTCAATTTATGTCTTGGAAGTTCCGCGGATGTTTTTCCGACTTCTCTCAGAACTTTCCTCAAAGGAGAGCTTCTTTCTTCTTTCTCTGGATGTTGTTTTCAGTTTCCTCCAGAAGCTAATTCAAACATTCCCAGGAATTTTAAAAGGAGTTAAAACTTTCGCTTTCAGAAACGACAAAAAAATTAAAATTAATTAAAATAGTAAATACCGATCAATACCGATTTTTTAAAACCATTGATACTGATAAGCTTTAAAACATTCTGGCAACGCTGGCTCACATTTAGACAGTTATACCAACAATCAATACGAAACTAACGATTTTAAATTGGCTCACCACTTTAGTAGCCTATTGGTCCCAAGCAAACGATTAACGTACCCTATTCTAGTTGAAATTCTATTACTACACTATGTTTGTTTTGATTCGCTATGAAAGTTTGACAGATAACATCAGGGGTGTGTGGATTCATGCAGAACATGCAGGGGTGAGTGAAATAGCTTGGGACTGCTTGGGACCGTTGTTCTGGTACTGAGTGAGCCAAAAATAATAATGATTTTCTTCGGGACCCAGTGGTCTTAGAGTTACCTCTATGTTACCTATATGGTTATACCATAGAGGTAACTCTAAGACCACTGGGTCCCGAAGAAAATCATTATTATTTTTGGCTCACTCAGTACCAGAACAACGGTCCCAAGCAGTCCCAAGCTATTTCACTCACCCCTGCATGTTCTGCATGAATCCACACACCCCTGATGTTATCTGTCAAACTTTCATAGCGAATCAAAACAAACATAGTGTAGTAATAGAATTTCAACTAGAATAGGGTACGTTAATCGTTTGCTTGGGACCAATAGGCTACTAAAGTGGTGAGCCAATTTAAAATCGTTAGTTTCGTATTGATTGTTGGTTATACCCCGTTCACATTACAGTCTATATCACGTTATATAGGCTGTCTTGCATTGAGCACTCATACATAGGATTTCCAGTGAAAACTAGATGTATGAGTGCTCATTGCAAGACAGCGTATATCACGTGATATACACTGTAATGTGAACGGGGTATTATACCTCGTTCTCATTACGCTCTATATCACGTGATATTACGAGATGATATCGATATCAAGTTGAGATGTTCACATTACGGTGACTTGATATAGTTTGTCATTTATGACAGTGAGAAAAAAGAACAACTTTGTTATTGTTTGGATGTGCAGCATCAGGGATTTGAGTATGCTGTAGAAATCTATCCTGACAGCGGTATCGAGTGGAAGCTTTCAGAGCGTACGAAGCCAGTACCTAGGAGATCCGGATACTTTTGACCAATGAGTGTCGGAATATTTGCTGCAGCCTGGTCAGTTTCATATCATACAAATGGAAAGCTGTTCAACGCTGCATTTTCACTTTCTAAACGATGGCTCCCTGGATCAGGACACTGCTTCGATTTTGCTGGCTACACAGGACAGCTAGAGCAAGACAAAGAAAGCCCACATGGACATTCTTTAAATGCGGATCTTTTTAGTATCATCGAACGTTCGAGGCGGAAACAACATGCGCAGCGCTCAGCACCATTGATTACAGTTGGAACCAAGGTTGCAAAGACTCATTTCAGCTAAAATAATGTTTTTTCGGAATAATAAAACCAAAAGATGGTATGATGGCATGTTTTACTTGTAACTTACAAGAAGAGGTTACAAAGTATGCGTTGGAAACATAAAACCTGTAAATTTTGCTTTCTATGAGTCACAATCAGCGATTTGCTGATCGCTGAGTGAGTGAGTGAGTGAGTGAGTGAGTGAGTTTGTGAAAAATCGCTGATTGTGACTCTCATGAAGTGAAATAAACAGGTTTAGTATGTCAAACACATTCTTTGCAACCTCTTCTTGTATCCTACCAATTCAAAATTTATCATGGCATCTAATTATTTCATAATTTAGAAAAACATTGTTTTAGCTGAAATGAGTCTTTGCAACCTTGGTTGGAACACGCGAGAAATCTCTTATTCACCGATTTTCGCCTTGATGTTGATGACTTCCCATCGGGAGAGCTTCTGGATTTCCTCCTTCGGTACCGGCAGTCGACACAAAACGACGTCCGTTCTGGTGACGGGACGTTTTGGTTGGGTACCGGAGAAAATCTTTGATTTGCTACATTTTTTTTGTTCGACGGGCACATTTAGAAGGCGATCACCACCGTGAAAACTTCCATTGGTTGGCGACAGTTGAATGTAGCAAATCCGATGGTATTGATTGCCGAAGAACTTCGTCTCGGGTAGGTGGGTCAGGAGATTTAGAATGGTTGCTTGAAACTGCCAGTTTGGATTTTTTTAAATGCTTTGATTGATTCGAGCTGTATCGTGGCCTGGTTGCCAGTCACTGCTTTTCAGGATTTTATCAAGTACACAACATGATATGAGCTATATCAAGAACTATTCATGATATAGATTGACAGATCGTTTGTATGGGATATCACTTAATTTAGCTGCTATATCATGAATCAATCTATATCACTTGATATACAGCATGAGAACAGGGTATTATCGCTGTTCGATTGGCTCAAGATGGCCGCTTCCGCGAATCTCTATACAAAGGATTACTAGTACCTACGTTATTGTGTAAAAGGAGGTGCGAGTAAAAATGGCCGAATTCCAGCACAAATTTGAAAAGAGAACATTTATGCAAAGTTTCATGGTCATCGAAGAGGGTAGAATAGCGAGGAAATGATCATCGCTAATCAATTTATGGGGCTCCCCCATTTGGCATAAGAGGGTTTTTTTTTAAATTATCGGAAAGGTTTGGGTCAGGTTCTCAGATTGGTATAGGTAGTTTATAATAATTTGACCGAAGCAAAATTGGGGCGGCCAATCTTCCGGGAAAACTAGTTGATGTTTTCCGATTACTTTGAACATTTATAATTCCTAAACCAAGTATCGTAGATCAAATGTTTTATAAGGAAATTATCTCAGCAATCCACATCAAATATAACCTGAAAAATGTTTCCCACGAAAATTTTCCTGATGGAGGAATATCACAAATCAATGCAGGCAAAACCATTTACTGGTGAAAATTTCAAAGTGGTGTTCTCTTACCGTTTTATACACCAAAAACTAACTGCCTAGGAAATTGTATTTAACTTTTCCGATTTTCCCAGACATGCTTTTAAAAACGTTATGGTTATTACTTTGTATTTTATTTTTGTTAGCTCTCCCTTCGTCCGACAAAATACGAATTCGATAATCAAATCCATCTCATTTTTCAACTCACCTAGGTCGAACTGAGTGCAACCCAACGCGAGGTCATCATGGATCATCAACGGCGAAAGCAGGAGGAATGTCTCCAGGAGGTGAACCGGCGCGTCAAAGAACGTATGAACTGCCAAGTTAGCAAACGTAAGGTAAGCTCACTGCTCAAAGTGCGTGTAGTAGATGCTCGGAAGCCGGAGAAGGTTCTACTGTTGTCTATTTGGCGTCCTCCTGAAGATCTTTGCGAAATGTTGCTGGAACAAAAGGCATTCGAGATAAGGAACGCCACTGCCAACGGCACCAGAAACGGCGAAGTGCAGTTGACAACCGGAAAGAACAGTTCTTTCCAGCCCTTAAGTCGTCAGTTTTGTGAGTTACCGGGACAATTGCTGAGACAGTTGACGAGGATAGCTGATATTGAATTCTCTAGCTTCCGGCCATATTTCAATGAGTTCGATACGGTAGGTGTCGTCGTTCAAATTGGAACATTGGAAAGTAAAAAATTTCAAACCGTATACGTATCTGACGCGGAAATGAACTTGCTGTGCGTAAATTTCTGGTCCGGTATAAAAGAATATGCATACGAGGACGTTATTAAAGAACGAACCGTTCTCTGCATATCAAATCTGCAGTGGCGAACGATCAATGCCTTCAGTGTGATTCCGAATTCTTTTGCCACCGAGTATACTACTTTCAGTGAGCATTCCAAGTCAGAGCAGTCTTCAGAAGAGTTACAGAGATTGCATGTCATATTAAATGGCATAAATCAGGACGACTTTTATGAACAATGCAAAATCAAAATTGTTGAACTGAAAGATAAGAAGCTTCCTCGTACTAACAGCTTCAACACGCCGATTCGTAACTACTCAGCAACAACTCCTATGAGATCAGTATTGGGAAGTGTGAATTCCAACGCTGCTACTACACCGACCGATTTCTCTCCCGGCGTTGGACAGCCTGTTAGTTTACAGAAACGTAAATTAGAACAACTAGCTGCTTACAAAAGCCCTCCGAAACTGAGTCCTATTATTATGCGTCACAATCCTCGCGTGAAGAAACATTTTAAAACCCCAGCCAGGCTGGAGGACCGAATCGACCAAGTCGGAAAAGATGATTCGCTGTGTTGATGCTTTAGTTGCTAGTTATTGTTGAACTTATAATCGACCATTATTATTAAAGTTATCGTGTTAATATTATTTCCGTCTGGCTGATTAATAGAGAAACTTCCTTAGAAATAAATACTCTTTCGATTCTTGATATCGTGCTGTGGATGATACAACTTTTTGATTTAATTTTCTATTGACCAAATTAATTAAATATGAAACAAGAGAAGAAGATTCCATGTTCATTCCCTCGCCGTACATCAAGCGCAACATTCAATAAGTGCAATAAACTTTCTAAAATAAAAGTTTTCGTTATCTACACACCACTTATTCCCGATCACCGTTCCCGGTGCGCGTGGTTGTTTGCTCGTATATCCCCTCCCCCCTTTTTCGGGGTTGAGGATCCTGATGGCGAATCTAAATAACTAACGAACCACGACTGAAACGTACTACTCAGATCCAATTTTTCTCATTCGGCGAAAGAGCGCAATGTGTTACCCATCCTTCCAGCGTCTTCGTCCTTCGTCGTTTTGAAAAGCCAAACTGAGGAAATCTTGCACTAAGTTTTACCGTTTTTTTTTTGCTTCATTCCTTGAACAGGAAAATCTTGCAGATGGGTTTATGTAGGTACGTAGGTAGCTGAGTGTAGTTTTGTTTTGAGGTTCTTATTTCGTTCATTCTAGCATATATCGCTGACGGTCCGGGAAGTCTTATGGTAGGTTATGTGCTGGTGTGCACTTTACTTTTTCACCACACGCACGTAAACCAAATCGGTACATTTCAATCGCAACTGACGAAGTTGGAACGGGCATTTTTAAATGCTGGGTTCAATTTACTTTGATGTATTTTCGAAAAATTCAAAAGCAGTTTTTTTTCGACGCATGATTTCAGATTATAAAAAGCTCGTGTTATTTTGTGTAAAATAGCAAATGGAATGGCATGACGCGAGCTTTTTGCAATCTACCCGGATCAAAAATAATAAATAATGATACCGTTAATGGGTTATATTGTAAGCATAGTTTACGGCCTATAATCGCATATCAGTCCCATATGGATTGCCGCCAATTTTGAAATAACAACGCTATCCAGTATCAATTTGGCATCTACTTTCATATTTTGTGATAAAACTACGGGCTTTGATCATGAAAAATGTAAAAACAACTTCAACTCAGTCCAGCCAGTGTCCCATCAAGTAAAGTAATCGCAGATCAGTCCCATCCTTAAATGCAATCGTCCAGAGGTGAAGTCACAGTTCTGCTTTTTGAGTTATCATATTTTTCGTTAATAGAACATAACATTCAAGCTTCAATGCAACTTTATATTAACTTGAAAATAAAAATCACTATGCTTTCTCAAATATTTGCGTGGGAATAACACTTCGTAACTTCGACTGCTATTTTCTCAATGGCTACTCTTCCCACATGAGACTTATTTGGGATTATAGGCAGCATAAACCTTATGGTTAAAAATACCATTAATTGTACATTTGCAATACTGTGAAATTTTTGAAAACGGCGCGATTTATTACAAAAATTGTTACGTCGTTTCATTTTAGAGTTATATACACCAATACCAGGCTTGCTGAAACTCCTCAAACTCACTGGAGGTTTTAAAACCTGCGAGTGTAGCCAAGCCATGAGCATAGTCGGTTAACAAAATGAAAGCAAATCGATATTAATGTTTGCAGATCCTATCATAATGAAAACTCATTTTGATTTCAATTGCCGCGACAGAAGTCTGATATCATATTATGCTTTCATTATGCTGTCAATACTTTTTGAATAACTTAAGGTGATTCACTGTCGAGATGGGAAATGACAGGTGTGCAGGAACTCACGGTCTCCCAGTGTAGGTGAGTTCTTTGCCGTTAATATTCACGAAAAGTTCACTATTTTGCTATACAGAAATTCAAAACAAAAATTTTTATCTGGGGGTTTGGACAGTTTTTGACCTGTTTCATACGACCGGAAGGTGTATGCTGGTTACAAATGTCGTGCCAAACTGATTTCCTACGCAATTAATCAATCTTTGATGTGAATTTCGCTAATAAACACGAGGAGCATTTCTTATAGCAAACTTGCCATAACAAAATGGGCATGGTTCATTTTAGTAAACAAACTAACACTTCTTCCGACTGTGTCACCTCTCTTACTCGCCTAGATTCACTGTAGCGTCCTTTTTCGTATTACACTTCGCAATTTCACATGTACAAATAATAAGGTTTCTGTGAATGCACGTACAAAATGGTGAGTTGACAACCTGAAAGGAGCGGAATACCTAGCCCTGGTCCTCACAAGTTCCTACTTCACGCCTCCTCGAGTCATGTGATAACAAAAGACTACCAGCTGAAACATGGACACAGCTGGTTGGCGTAGCCTGGGCAATGTTGCCAGTCCGGCAATAGCAAAGTGAAGAGGTGCGACGCGAACATTGGCGCGGTAACCATAGTACAGTGATAGAGGAAATGCTTCACCAAACCTGAGCGTCTGCTCACCATGGAGGTGCGGCTCAAAACGGCGTCTGTTCTCCATGTTAGGAGCGGCTGATCACCGTCCTAGTGCCAGCGTGGGACTCTAAACAGAGCTGTGCACGATGGTCCCCCGGCGAGACAGGGGGTTGGGGCAGGCCCAACAAGCCGCCCTGGAAAAAAACAAAGTTGCAAATACCGAAGAAAGAAATACGTATCGGAACCATCGGCACAGACCTACGCGACGAAATAAGGACTACGATTAGAAACTCGGAACATGGAACTGCAAATCGCTCGGCTTCCCGGGTTGCGATAGGTTAATCTATGACGAACTTCAACCACGCAACTTCGAAGTCGTAGCACTGCAGGAACTTTGCTGGACGGGACAAAAGGTATGGAAAAGTGGGCATCGAGCGGCTACTTTCTACCAGAGCTGTGGCACCACCAACGAGCTGGGAACCGGCTTTGTAGTGCTGGGTAAGATGCGCCAACGCGTGATTGGTTGGCAGCCGATCAACGCGAGGATGTGCAAGTTGAGGATTAAGGGCCGTTTCTTCAACTACAGCATCATCAACGTGCACTGCCCACACGAAGGGAGACCCGACGACGAGAAAGAAGCGTTCTATGCGCAGCTGGAGCAGGTGTACGACGGCTGTTCGCAACGGGACGTCAAAATCGTCATCGGCGACATGAACGCTCAGGTAGGACGGGAGGCAATGTATAGACCGGCAATCGGGCCAAACAGCCTGCATGCCGTATCGAACGACAACGGCCAACGATGCGTGAACTTTGCAGCCTCCCGGGGTATGGTAGTTCGAAGTACCTTTTTCCCCCGCAAGGATATCCACAAAGCCACCTGGAGATCACCTGACCAACACACAGAAAACCAAATCGATCACGTTCTAATCGACGGGAAATTCTTCTCCGACATTATCAACGTCCGCACGTACCGCAGTGCGAACATAGATTCGGACCACTACCTAGTTGCAGTATGCATGCGCTCAAAACTCTCGACGGTGCATAACACACGTCGAAGTCGAACGCCACGACCCAACATTGAGCAACTACGGGACACCGGAGTTGCCCAGGACTACGCGCAGCAGCTGGAAGTTGCACTACCCACGGAAGAGCAGCTTGGCGCAGCTTCTCTTGAAGATGGCTGGAGGGACATCCGTTCAGCCATAGGTAGTACTGCTGTAGCGGCACTAGGTACTGCAATCCCGGACCGAAGAAATGACTGGTTTGACGGCGAATGCAAACTGTTAGTAGAGGAGAAGAATGCAGCACGGGCGAGAATGCTGCAACACCGCACGAGATTGAACGTGGAGCGATACAGACAAGCGCGGAACAGACAAAACTCGGTTTTCCGAAGGAAGAAGCGTCAGCAGGAAGATCGAGATCGCGAGGCGATGGAAAATCTGTACCGCGTAAACGACACACGGAAGTTCTACGAGAAGCTAAATAGTTCGCGCAAAGGCTACGTGCCGCAAGCCGATATGTGCAAGGACTTGGACGGTAACCTTCTCACGAACGAGTGTGAGGTGATTGAGAGGTGGAAGCAGTACTATGACGAGCACCTCAACGGTGAAGCAGCAGAAAACGAAGGTGGCACGGCAACAGACCTTGGAGCACGCGCAGAAGACGACAGGCTACCGGCCCCTGATCTTCAAGAAGTTGAGGAGGAGATCGGTCGGCTGAAGAACAACAAAGCAACTGGTGTAGATCAACTACCAAGTGAGCTATTGAAATACGGTGGTGAAGCACTGGCTAGAGCGCTGCACTGGGTAATTGCCAAGATTTGGGAGGAGGAGATATTACCGGAGGAGTGGATGGAAGGTGTCGTATGCCCAATCTACAAAAAGGGCGACAAGTTGGATTGCTGCAACTACCGCGCGATCACACTGCTGAGCGCCGCCTACAAGGTACTCTCCCAAATTCTATGCCGCCGTCTGTCACCATATGCAAGAGAGTTTGTGGGGCAATACCAGGCGGGATTCATGGGTGCCCGCGCTACCACGGACCAAATTTTCGCGATTCGGCAGGTTCTGCAGAAATGCCGCGAATACAACGTGCCCACACATCATTTGTTCATCGATTTCAAATCCGCATACGACACAATCGATCGAGATCAGCTATGGCAGATTATGCACGAGTACGGATTTCCGGATAAACTGACGCGATTGGTCAAGGCGACGATGGATCGAGTGACGTGCGTTGTTCGAGTATCGGGGACACTCTCGAGTCCCTTTGAATCTCGAAGGGGGTTACGGCAGGGTGATGGACTTTCGTGTCTGCTGTTCAACATCGCGTTAGAAGGTGTGATCAGAAGAGCTGGGATAGACACGAGTGGCACGATATTCAGGAAGTCCATCCAGCTCCTTGGTTTCGCCGATGACATTGACATTATGGCACGGAACTTTGAGATGATGGCGGAAACGTACATCAGACTGAAGGCTGAAGCTAGACGGATTGGACTTGCCATCAACGCATCAAAGACAAAATATATGAAAGCAAGAGGTTCTAGGGAAGACAATGTTAGCCTCCCACCCCGAGTTCAGATTGACGGTGACGAAATCGAGGTGGTCGATGAGTTCGTGTATTTGGGCTCACTGGTGACCGCCGAAAATGATACCAGCAGAGAAATTCAAAGACGCATTATGGCAGGGAATCGTGCCTACTTTGGACTCCGGAGG